TACAGTATATATACATTAGGGCTGGACAATAATTCGATAACAATATATATCAAGATATAATTTTATTCAATAACGGCAATATGTTTTTAGCACATTTTCGATATTTCAGTAGGATTACAGAGTTTCACTGACGCATTTATTTTTCTGTTTGGGTTGAAGTGGCCGCTTAAATTTCAACCGGAACAGAAAAAGCTGTGACACAGGTAAGTGCGTGGTGACGTACACCACAGCTCGAAGGAGTCAGAGGTCATTTGATTCAAAATGAGTGCCCATGACCGTCAGAATGTGACTGAACAAGTTTTCACAAGCAAAGACAAAGCAGATGATATAATTGATAAGAGTAAAGATAATTCGGCGGTGTGGAAGTGGTTAGGCTATCTAAGCATTAAGTGTATAACAGATTATAAAGGAAGGAGCGACCAAAGCCCTAAAGACCCATCTCTGCCAGATGTCCTCAACAAGTTTTATGCACGCTTTGAAGACCCGAGCAGACCACCCAGCACCAGACTCACCTCACCACCAGATGAAGAGCATCTCAGCGTGAACTCAGCTGAAGAAAGGAGTACTTTCAGGAGGATTAATCCGCACAAGGCAACTGGCCCAGACAACATCCCCGAAAAAGTGTTGAAAGAATGTGCCGATCAACTCTGCGAGGTGCTGGCAGACATCTTTAACACCTCACTTACCCTGGAGACAGTTCCCACCTGCCTGAAGACTGCCACCATCATCCCAGTCCCAAAAAGCTCTACAGTGACTGGTCTGAATGACCAGTGGCCCTCACCCCGATAGTCGCTAAATGCTTTGAAAAACTGGTCATGACCCACATCAAAACAACCATCAACATCAATGAGGACCCTCATCAGTATGCATACCACAAGAACCGATCAATAGAGGATGCCATCTCCTTTGTGGTCCACACTGCTCTCACCCACCTGGAGCAGAAAGACTCTTACATCCATATGCTCTTTGTGGACTTCACATCTGTGTTCAACACCATGATCCCCCAAACCCCAATGGACAAACTATTCACACTAGGACTAAGCCCCTCCATTTGCAAGTGGGTACTAGACTTCTTAACAAATAGACCACAGTCAGTGAGGATCCACAACTTCTCCTCCTCCACCATAACACTCAGCACTGGCTCTCCTCATGGATGTGTGTTGAACCCTCTCCTGTTTACTCTGCTCACGTATGATTGTGCAGCTACCCATCCAGGCTGTCACATTTTAAAGTTTGCAGATTATACAGTGGTGGTGATGCATCACAAACAATAATGAGTCCAGCTACAGGCAGGAGGTGGAACATCTGGAGAGCTGGTGCGAAGAGAATAACCTTCACATAAATGTGAAGAAGACAAAGAAGATGATTGTGGACTTCAGATGGAGCAAACACACCTACACCCCCCTGAACATAAGAGGATCTGTGGTGGAAGTGGTCTCCAGCTACAAATAATTAGGTGTACACATGAATGACAACCTCAGCTGGAGCAACAACACTACCAGCCTGATCAAGAAAGCTCATCAGAGACTCTACTTCCTCAGGCGGCTGAGATGAGCTGGTCTGGAAGCTCTGTCCTCACCTCCTTCTACAGGTGTGCAGTGGAGAGCATCCTGTCCTCCAGCATTAACGTGTGGCATGGAGGGTGCACAGCTGCAGAAAGAAAAGCTTTGCAGAGAGTGGTGAAGGCTGCACAGAAGACTGTTGGAGTCAACCTCCCCACCATCACAGACATCTACACCTCTAGATGCAGGAAGAGGGCCACCTGCATCATGAAGGACCCCACTCACCCAGCACACACACTTTTTGCCCTGCTCCCCTTAGGAAGGAGGTTGAGGAGCATTAAGTGTAGAACCACTAGACTGGGGAACAGCTTTTACCCTGAGGTTGTTAGACTCATGAATCTCTAATCAGGATAATCACTGTGAAAAATCACATCATGTTGCTGTTGATCTGCTTCAATGTTGCTGCTGATCTGTTTCATGTTGATGTGTTCATGAGTGCTCATCTGCTCACATGCTCATGTTTGTGCTGCTGTTTGACGTAATGTTTTAATGCTATTAGTGCTTAGTGTATTTTTAGTTGATGGTTTTCTTAGTTCATATCTTAGATGTTATCATTGTTTTTCTTTTACATTTTTATTGTTGGATGTTACTGGGACCCCATGTACATAATTTCGTTCCACCACATGTACCACATGTGGTGTGAACGACACGAAAGAATCTCTGACTCTGACTCTATGTATATATATTATTATTATTCATTTATTAATTTTTTACAAGCACATAGATGCTTAACAACTTGTTAAAAAATGCATGAAATCACATCTACTTTATTAAAAGATTTCTGGGGGAGGACCCCCCATACATAACACACTATAAGCTAAGCGGCTGTTGCTATTGCAACAGCACTCAAAAATCCAAGCTGGTCATTGAATGGTAAATGGATTGTACTTATATAGCACCTTTCTATCTTATCAAGATATTCAAAGCGCTTTACACTACAATCTGTGTTCTCATTTACCCATTCATACAGCGCTCAACTAGATCTCTACAAACCTAATTGAACAAATCATTTTAAAGAGATTAATCAGAGCTTTATCACATTCATACACCGATGGGACATATATCAGAGGCAGTGAGGGGTTAACTGACTTGTCCAGGGACACTTTGGCATGTGACTGCTGATGGATTCGAACCTCCAACTCTTGCATTGTAGGACAACTGCTCTAACCACTCAGCCACAGCTGCCCTGAACACACCATAAGTTAAGTGGCTGTCGCTATAGCAACAGTCCATCTCTGTAGACATTTTTACTGAGTGAGTGACTTAAAGTTAACAGTACACATTGCTTTGTTTCCCCGCAGAAAAAAGCGAGACAATAACTAGATCAAAATGAATGCACAAAGAATAAAACAATGACAAACCATTGACATTTCTGATGATGAATGAAAACAAAATAAATGTCTGACAAGAATGAGATTCAATCTGATCTACGTTGTTTGGAAAGTTGGAATGAGTTGTGAAGATGTCCAACTCATCTGCGCAGCAGACGTTTGATCTGCCTGTGAAAAATTAAAACAACTCGGCTGAGAGAAAACAGAGTAGACATATGAACACATTTTACTTTTAGCTGTGCAAAGCTAAGCTGCTAAAACTAAGCTAACATTACATTATGAGTTGCCAG